CCGCCTAATCTTTTAATAGTCTCTCCGCCTCTCACACGCCTCCCCACACGTCGTCCCTGCGGGGTACAGTAATTAAATCTCGGCTCCGAACATTAATATTTCCGTGAATATCTCTGGTGATATTATCTCCGCAGATAGTCGATTCAGTGCTGCTCTACGGGCCAAATTATTCCTATTTCGTTTCTGTTTTCAAAGATAATAGAACAGAAGAGCTTTTTTCCTTCGATCGCCTTCAGCCGCCATGCTTTCTTCACCACGAGTTTAACTGATGAGCATGCGCACTTAATATTTCTCAGGTAGCTTCCGCATGGCGAACGGAGCCGAGATTTAATTACTGTACCCCGCAGGGACGACGTATGGGGAGGCGGAGAGACTATTAAAAGATTAGGCGGTTTTTCTTTCATGTACGTCCACCATTTTTAGGTCACCGGCTTTGTAAAGCCTGGCTTAACTCGTTGAGAATGCGCTCTAAGTATTTAAAAAACGCACTTTTGGCAATTATCACTGTAAACCATGCACTTCTTGGTCTAACACAATTATGTCTACTTTAACTTTTTTGTTTTCTTTGGATGAGAAATTATACAACTTATTTTCCAGTAAACTCAAAGTCTAAGACCAGTCAATTAAAAGGCGTAAAAAAGTAAATGTAAAAATATATAATAAAACAGTGAAAAATTAAAAAAAAAAAGAGAAAGAAAAAACGAATGACAAACAGAACGAAAAGAAAATCAACATATAACTAAAACAAAGAGTTCCTACCAGATTTCTTGTACAAGGTTTTTTCCACTTAGAGAGCTTGAAATCCCGGATACTTTGTTGCGCGTAGAGAGCGGTCTGGCTGGCTCCACCGTCCCACTCCACGCACGGCTTGCCGGGTACAGGAATGATCAGAGACGCTTGACTCTCGCCGCCGTCCCAGTGAATTTGACAACGGCCCTTCTCTCCCTGAAATGTCTTCCCCATCTCTCTAGCACGGTGGTTGTCATGACAACCTGGTCTCGGGGGCTGCAGCACGGGCGAGCGTCTGCGCGCGAGAAGAGCAGCGATGATGAGAAAGAGGGCCGTTGCTATGACGCTGCAAATCAAGAGGTACCGCATGATGTGTAGCTGGTCCCGCAGCCCTGCCACCTGCCGGAAGACGTTGGAACTAACAGTGAGGTCTTTCGGGGAGCCCATGCAACAGTCCGTTGTGAATAACCGTAGGAAATCGCTCATCATATGTGGAACCTGACTTTTAAAGAGACAAAGAAAGGTGCAACGGTATGGGAATGAAAATGAAACAACTTGTTTACAGTAAGCCATCCTGCAGGAAAACCAATGATCGTATCATTTTTGAAATTAATGAAAAAAAAGTTTTTCATTAGTTGACTGAATGATAAGCTAGCTGTAGTAAACATCTCAGTATACATGTAGTAACAACAAAGGAATGAATGGCTAAGGTTACTCTAAAGATAAAGTTTACAATTAAATGATCTAATACTAAACTGAGTCTATGTCTAAACTCAGTCTAAACTGACTTTTTAATCGAGTCAGTTTCTATCATGAGCGATAATTTTGGCACAGCCACGTGATCATGTTCATTCAGAAAAGTACCGGTACATGCATGTACTGTCTTTCGATCGTGTATCGGGTGTACTAGTATGTTAGGCAGGCTGAACGCATATTATTTGCTGAGAAGACGGCTGATGGTGACTTACGGTAAAATCAGCAGAGATTTCTCGGAAACTGAGGACAGAAAGGTCAGAAATAGGCAATTGTCTTTTAGCGAGTGGTGTACAAAGTACCAATAAAAACTAACATAATGCATCTCACGGATCATTTCTGCCTCGTTTTAGGCTAGCTACCGCGAATGATTCCCATTTGTCCAGATCAATATCGGCCTATAACTACGTAGATATTCTTCTAGCATGTGCACGAGGCAATTAACTGGTTGCTTCATCAATCAACATTCTGCGTGGCGCATCCTACATTCCTACTTCAGTTTTCAAATTGCTTCTCTTCAATCAAACAACTTTTTTTCCGAGTTTGTCCCAGTATACGGCATCTTAATATTCGACCGCTATTTGAAAGGCGTGTTTTTATCTGAACGTATTCAAGGCAATAACCTTATAAATTTGTTGCCTACATCAATCAATGATGACTTTTTAATCGAGTCAGTTTCTATCATAAGCGATAATTTTGGCACAGCCAAAGTAGATGTTTTTATTCGATTAGAATGCTTGTTTTCACCAAACAGTAGCCAAGCTACTGTATATATTCCTGCATTGAAACCGCCTATCCAGAATTTTGACACAGCTTTGACACAATCTAAATTACATGACAATTCAGCATTTGAGTTAGTAGTTTATGACAATAAAATCATTGTTAAAAGACTCATAATGACTCTTACTCACCGTTCTTTTTATGATGCGGCAACGTATGCTGGCCTTGTGTATTTACGTTGCCATGATTGTTTTTTTGTTAGTTTTGACGTTACAGGTAGCTAACGTAAGATTACGTCATACGAGGTGACGGATGCCTTCGAGTTCCGTTACGTCACAATGACGCGTCATTTTTATCTCAAATACATTGCACAATATGCATCACATTTACAATTTTTCAGCTTTCATAGCTAATATTTTTTTAAATCTAATTTAATCTACTTTTTATAGAAATTGTTATGCTCATCATAAGTACATGAAACAATAGCAAGAATAGAAATAACGGGAGCCAAGTTTAAGTCATACATGTAGGTCTGTTTATTAGCAGAATAATTGTAATCGGCCAATCAGAATTAAAATACGTCATATTGGCGTCATATGAGATCATCCAGGCACTAAACCGCTAACCCACAATGCTTAAAAATTGGCACTACAAAATTGATACAATGCAAACATATTTTGGCAAACGGAACCTCAACAAATAGCCTAAAAACACGGATGTTTTCAGTGCTTCCTAGTCTAAAAAATGCGCCTGGCACAAAGGCGCCCAGTTGGTGTTTCACAGCAGTAAAAAAATATTCAAAGTAGTTGGTCTAAAATCAACAGTTCCTGTCCTAGAAGATCCAACCGTCCTCGTGCTTAACCCGTCTCTGGACTGTGGTATATAGTCATATTCATGAATCATAACATTTATAAAAATACACACTACGTATATGTATCTCTATACAGGCCTACTATGTTGAAGATAGTCTAAGTTTTTTTTTAGAAATACACGTAGAGTTTTGACTGAGCACGAAAATAACAGGTAGGCCTAATAGAGTGCATTCGGAGAAGCGGACGAACGGATCCGTGGATCAAATATGGCCGACCCACTTATATGCTTGTTGCGTAATCCTCGCGGGGTATCTATTCAGTGTCTAATCGGGCATTAAGCGGCAAGCTTTTCAGTGGGTCGCCATATTTGATCCTCGGATCTATCAGTTCTCTGTTCTGAATGGGCCCAAAGTCGCTCAGCAAAGCATTAAGTAATTATATTAGTAGCTGCTCTTAGGCAGGTGCAGTTCATTATTTGTTCACCTTGATGTTAAACGAAAGAAAAAAAAATCTATTGGTAAATATACCGGTAGTAGTAAAAAAAAAACAAAGTTCCACCCCAACGCTTTAAAGATGATAGAAAGGTTCCTCGAGGTTAAAAATAATGTCTTTAGCTAAGCTTATTTTGCAAAGGTTACAGGAAAATGAACCCTTGTTTTTCATTACGCTTCTAGCAAATGCCACAGTGCGCAAACATTGAAAGAAGAGAAAATGTGGGCAAAAAAAAAAAAAAAAAAAACGTCAAAAGCTGATGTACTTTCTTGTAATTTCAACCAAAAAATGCAGAAAAAATTAACTGAGATACAACTAGCAGAGTTGTAAAAGAGTTGTATCGTCTGCACTCAATTGCTGATGCATCGCATTTCTCTAATCCGCGTCTCAGCGTTGGCTCTTACTGGTAGCTAATATTAAACCCAGACGCGTTTAACAAAACACGAGATAGAGACAGATAAATACCCCAGCACAGGTAAAAGAGATATGTGATAAATTGATGTAGCACCGCTTGCATGGCTAGACTCATAAAACATAGTGTACTTGAACCCTGATGAGTGCTCAGCTTCGCTAACATTACGGAATAGATTTTCTATGAAGTATGTATCGGGATCTTTAAGAATATCGTCTATGATGTCAGAGACTTCGTCTAATCCCTCGGGAGATGCGCCATCCAGCTCATTGACTTGCGGGACGAAGTAGTTGGGCAGGAATCGATTCTTGCAGACATCTTGAATGCTGGCCAGTGCCTCTGACACAGCAGCGTTCATGTCCGCGAGCCTCCAATCTGTCCCCAGTTCCTCCACGACCCAGAAGGAGAGCAACTTGAGATGAAACCCCGTAATGGCGTCTTCGACGTGCTGGAAGTACTTGCGCCTCAACGCCTTCAGGAACATCATCAACGTGCGTTGTTCCTTGTTCCACGTGTTGATCAAAATGTTCTCAGCCTGGACGAAAACGAGGCGCCAGGTCTCCTGGCTCGATCTGTCGTCATCGTTTGACTTCCGGGTCACTTCAGCACCGGTGCTCTTCAGCAGAGCGACGGTCTCCCCTTGAGGCCACATCCTGGGCCAGTTCGGCTCCTCCCACTGCCGGAACCACGTGGGCCACGAGGTGCGGTACACGAGGACGACGTCCATGACGACCTCGGCGTCTGGGCGCATCGTGATGAACTTCCCTATTGCCCCTCCAATGGCATCCACGGCGTTCGTGTCCACCCAGCCTGGGTTGTAATCATTGGCGAACCCTTCCTCGGAGTCCGGGACGTTTCCGTCGCAGCATTTCTTGTCTCCGCCCTCATCAACGAAACATGATTTGTACGGAGGGGTGCTGAAACTTTGATACCCCTTGTACATCCGGGCGGTCAGAATCGGTGGACGTGTCCTGTTGGTTTTGGGGTCGAACCCGTGCAGCAGGATGGTGACGGTATTATTAAGACACGTGCCTTTTGTATTATTAGGCGCCGCCCAGTATTTAATGTCCACTGAGACGCCAGACCGCTGGGGGTCGTAGAAGCGAGCCATGCTAAGACGTCTGTGCAAGGGGGTTACCCTTTGGTTGTTCACATACAAATGGACGTACACGTCGGAACCGGGAACCTTCACCAATCTGACTGCAGAATGGGGGGCCTCAAGAGCTTTCACAGAGGGGTCCAGAAAATCAAAATCGGACTCGAACCCGGTTTTGCCTCCTGGTAGCTTCTCGGGTATGTGCAGTCGCTGGAATAGACTTCCGGCGGGAGCGATGCCAGGGTTCTTATCCACGACTTCCTTCAGTAATTTCCGGAGAGGTCCGTTTTCCTGTTCGTCAATTTCCTTCAGGACGTCTTCGTAGTGCTCCCAAAGACTGATGTTGACATTAATGGTTTGTCGCGGAACCTTCCTGAAAAAAATAAACATGGCCTTGCATTTAATAATCTACGTTATTTTTTTTTTCTGTCACAAAAATGTATTAAAATAAAGAAATGCAAAAATATAGGAAGAAATTCCGTAAACCTTACTGTGGATTGTCATATGGTTGGGATGCAAAAAAAAAAAAAAAAAAAAAAAAAAAAAAACGAAGCAAAGAAAAAAAGAGGAAAAAATAAAACCCGTTAAATTTTATATTTTCAGAGAACAATTTGGAAGTGCAATGAGACAGCATTTTTTAGAACTAAGTCATGTAATTGACCCCATATTAAAAAAAACAGACACCTTAATTTTGATGGTGATGATAAAACGTAAACAGCGTACTTAGACCTAAAGATAGAACCATGCCCCGGGTATGAAAGTATGAAAGTGTTAGTCATCGGGGAAAAAACTCCAGAGGTTGTAAATGATATAGACGGTAATTATAGACTTTTAATATTTAAAAAATAATTCTCTTGGAGCCTTTTGATAGCACAGGCTTTTTTGCATGTTACCTTTTCCTGAATTCTGCCCATTTGTAAATCACTCTCTTAGTCTTTTGAGAGGTATGGTTATCATATTATCGAGTCATTTAAAGGTTGTAACATTCTGTCCACGAGCATAATAGCTAAATGATAGGTTTATGTGATACTTTTGCGAACAATGGCAAAAAAGGAAACAAATAAAAAAAGATAAAATAAATTAAACGATGTGAAGATAATTGCCAGAAATGCCAAAAGCACAACATTGAGCAGCGTTAGATAATTTGATGATATTTCACTTCTGCTGGCCGAGTTGTCGATACAATGTGCATGATGCTCATCATAACGGTACACATACAACTCTCTCTCTCTCTCTCTCTCTCTCTCACTGACTTTAACTGAATAACTGTGGTAATGGGACAGCGAGCGTGTTCCACATTAATCTTTTCAAAATTGCCCATTTGAAATTGAGCACAAGAAGGGGAAATCTGGAAAACACATTAATATTATAGTGATTAAGACTATAACTCAATGCTCCTTTTTTCGGGGGAGGGGGAGGGGATGAATTGCAGTAAATCATGATCACCCTCTATCACGGTACATGTACATAATAGCTTATGCCACCTGCCGACCCAAGTCATCGCCTAACTCAGTCACCATACTTCAAATCCTACGTTGTACTGACCTAAAATTTATTTCGTACCCAGTTAAGTGCATTCTCATGCTGATTTAATTTTGATAAGATGGCAATCTAAAAAAAGTTAATGTATATTATGTCTTTACCATTCATGCAGTAAAAATGGAAATATGCATTGCTTGACTGAACGACAGTAGGGCAGAATGCTTGGAAAATGGGCTGGACGAGTTTTAAAAAGATGATTGACCATTTTGACCAGTTTAAGAATAAACATTTAACAAGAAGCCAACTGAGCGATGGCATATTCCATACAAATATACTCGTTGGACTCAGTGGGAAAATGGGCAAGATGAGTTCTTACAAAAGAGAAAAAAAATGACCTATTTTACAATTCGCTCAATACAAGAAGCCAACTGAGTGGTGACATATTCTATGAAAAAATTCCCCTTGGACACAGCATGAAAAAAATAATCGTCATGAAGAAGCCAGAGACACATCCGACATTTCTGTCAATATCTTATGAAAAATCAACCGGTGGTTCTGATAGCGGTACGTGCAGTAACTCAAAGTGACAGCCCGCTGGAGCCTGCCAAGCCGCAAAGGGTATATGGAGGTCGTACTGTCACCTAATGACAATAAAAACGCTCCTGTGTAAGACGTTAAATTTAGGAAGATAATTTGTATAATCCTAGCAGAGAGAGAGAGAGAGGCATAAATTTAAGCTGCATTCACAGACTAGCAGCTCCACGGATCAAAGGTGATCAACCCATTTGAAGGCTTGCCGAGTAATCCCCGCGGGGAATCTATTCAGTGTCTGTTAGGGGGTTATGTGGCAGGCTTTCAAGTGGGTCAGCAATATTTGATCCGCGGAGCTGTTAGTCTGCAGATCAAGTTGTTCTGAATGCGACCTTAGGGTATACTGCAGGTAGAAAACGTTTTTGACTGAGAGCGACAAGCAAGTGTTCGAATGAAGACCGCATTTAAACAGTTTTTTTACCGAGAGATCCGAGAGGATGCAGGTGAACCTCTACTACAACACGGTTCTGAAGAGACTGTATCTTGTTTGTGTGGTCTGTAAGGGGGGGGGGGGGGGGCGCTAACATATTGTGCTTCGCACAGTAAAACCTGCCACTAAAATCAACCAAGCATAGTCGTGAAAGTGGCCGGGACTTCTGTCATACGCAGCACAACACACCTATGAGGAATATTTCACTTGGGCATGTACTGCATGTAGCTGTACCCTTGCAGCAGTCGATCTTGGTTATATGTCAGCTCGATAGTGCATGGTTCCAATGTAGCGGTTTACATGTATTATTAACAATGGCGGTCGGGCGGTATCATAACCATTACCACGTACCCCTCCCTTACCTTATGAGGTCTTCTTCTCCCCCTCCCTGCCCTTCACCCCCCCCCCCCCCCCCGAAATAAAAAAATATCAAAAGAGTTTAACAATCAAAACGAGACAAAACCAAGTGATTTTGCCATTCCTGCGACCTAAATATTATACCTGTATTAAAATTATCCTCAATCGTCAACTATTTCATAAATATGCTTAGCAAAGGTTGGCAAATTGTTTTCATGCTGCCACCCTCTCTGCAAGCGAAGTAATAGATCTGCCAGTACGTATATTCACCAAAAATAAAAATCAGCTAAAAATAACGTTTTTCCTCACACAGTAACTGTCTTATCAACAAAGAATAGATCTTATACTCACGTGCGCAATTGCTGAATAGGAGGCAGACACATAGCAATTCCACAGTAAAGCAAAATTGCCAAACATCCTAGCAAACAACGGCGAGCCATCCTTTTCTACTAGCCAGTGCCGGCAAAACTAACTACCAAGGCGTTGGCTCCGTTTATTGCTATACCTTACCCAACATGCACCGCGTACGTAACCTATTTTTAGGAGTTATTTTTTCGAGCAAAAGCCGATGGGTTCTTTTGCCATTCATTAATTGCCGAAGCATATCCATTACGGATCGGCGTTATTGGAGTCAAATAGGCAAATTAGCCGTTAAGCCAATCAGTATTGGATAATTATGAAACAGATTTGATGCAGCGCGGGGCCCAGGGGGCCGCGTTGATTTATGTCTGGTAGACTAGGTCAGTTTGTTTTTCCTTAAGAGCGAGTTCAAGGGCAAGCGGTCGCAAAGAATTGCGAGCTGCGTTCAGGGCAGACTTAATGAAAGCTGGCTTAGGGAAAGTGTAGCTGAAGTGTGTACATATATTCATGCTTAAAAATGTACATAGACTAGTACACTGCCACGGGTGTAGAATTTCAGAAAAATGGCTAAGAAAAAGTTTACCAAAATCTAGGTAAAAGATTTATTTTACTTGCCCCTTGATTGCTTGGTTATTTTAATGTCGTGTAGTTTATAAAAAAGAGTTGAGGTGGGCACCGTATATAAATCCTGAGATTTCCACAATGTAACTATAGTGACTGCTCTGTCATGATATATATGTGTGTGTGTGTTGATATTATTTAAAAAGCGGCGGCCTACGTATAGCTTTCTAACTAACTAAGAGATGTTTTTTTTTTTCAGATAAGTGAATTTGTTAGTGTTTGTAATATAATTTTGCCAGCTCATTATGGTTATTGTGATATATGATATTGGCCTGTAGGCCTGAACTCAGTTGAATAAACCTTGATTGCAACACTCCGCTTTGATGTATAAACAGCTAGGCTGTACAGCCATATATATATATATATATACTCCATTGAAGCGGGCGGATGCAATGAGCAAGCAACGCGGATTATTTCTCAAATTTTTTATAGCAAGTGAATTATCCATTGAAGAGGTCTACACTCTGATTAATCATGGTCAATAAAGATTTCGGTCTTAAAGTTAATTCCATCTATAGAGATATCCCCTATAATACAGGAACCGGTTCCGATTGCTTTCTATACGTAAGCCGCTAGATTTTGACCCACCTACGTCACCCCAACCCAAGCCAGTACGAATCCAATTGAGGGCGGTCTTTATTACACGGTCGATGTTTCTTATCACATATTCTTTTTGGCATTGTCACAATTGTGTCGCATCTACCACAATCGCACCCGCCAAAATAGATAATAGACGCCACGTTTTGGGGCACTGTGATTGAAAACGTACAGTTTTTAAATTCCCTATTCAGCCTATTTTCTCTTTACATGTAGTAGCTATATGTCTTAAAGTCGTGCATCATCATTTCGACGTAATGATATTGATACTTTTATTTCTTTATTTTTACCAGGGATTAACATTGATGTAGAAACATTCTCTCTCTCTCTTTCTCTCTCTCTCTCTCTCTCTCTCTCTCTCTCTCAAAACGCCTTTCTTCGATAGCAACACAGAGAGGCTAAACCAGTGAAATGATTTAAAGGCGCTTGTTTTTTCTGTTCTGCACGGGTGTTCCTTTCAAGATGGTTCCGTTGGTATCTACTGTGACCGGCAGGCATACAGGAAAGACTCAGGGACCCCGATGGAGAGCACTGGCTTGGTAAGGGATAATACATATTTAAGACGACAGATGGCGCGCAGTATTTTCATAGCATGGTAGGCCCCCTATAAGGTCTGGTATAACTTATAATACGGTATTGTATAGAACACGAAATGGCGAATCCCCATCCCGATCCACTCTATATCTTAACACTTTCCTTAGTGCATGTCACCACAAGTGAATGCAGCAAATGAGTTATGTACTGTATTTTTTTCTTATTTATAGGCAACTTTTACATCTAATGTCTGACCGCACAAGAAGACTACACTCCGAGAGTACATCTTAAGACGGCAAAGGAGTCGACGCCTACTCCAAAATTTCCCTCTTCAAAATCAGCGATGGGGCTGGAAAGGACCTGCTTACCCTGGGAGACTACTCGGGAACGGCCGGTGTGACAGGAGTGGAAGTCCGCTAGGAACCGTAGTCCGCTTCCCATTACTTTGTACAGGTGACATTCGTCCCATATACTAACTTCAGTACTCCAACTAACCATAACCTGTAGTAGTCGTGTCTGTAGAGTTCTGTGGTGTTTATTCACAAAAATATGAAATGACTCATTTGAAATTATTCTGAACTAATTACTATAAAGAGCACACTTTTTGTTTCCGTGCAAGGTTTATTCTCTGCCATATTTGAAGAGAACTGAAAAAATAAATCATTGGCTGACCTAGCTGAGTTTCAGGGTATTGATCAATTTTTCCGTTACAAAATATTATAGTATTGCTGTATTCAAAAACTATTGGAGACTTATTATTATTATTATTATTATTATTATTATTATTATTATTGCAGTAATTCATACAGTATGTTATTTATATAATAATTTAGTTTTCATTGCCAGCTTTCAGCTCTCAGTACGATTATCGGTGTTAACGTCATATGTGGTTTTGTGGGGGCGCATTATTAAATCGTTGTGGTGCTGGCTTGAATAAAATGAAAAGAAAAACCAAACAGGAAGTTCTGGCGTCGAAGCAAAAATAACGTTACAATGATCTTTTAATGACTCGGCTGGTTTAAACATCCTTGTGCGTAGGTTGACATCTTAAATGCTTTTCATGGTATACACGCAGATTGTGTGATTTCAATGTCAACTAGGACTTTTTTAGCAGAAATGTAAAAGAGGTGAGTATATTTGTTCTCTCTCTCTCTCTCTCTCTCTCTCTCTCTCTCCACACACACACTCACACAGTGAACAGACGGGAAGCGACATGGAGAAAGTGGGGAGATAAAGCGATCGAAGTTTTTCATATATATCTCAGCAACGTACAAGTACTGCGGATACTATGAAAGTATATCGTATTTACACAGCATGTTACATACTTCAGCGTTTGCTGCCCTACATTCATCGGTCGTCCCCGCGTCCTCCACTTCTCTCCTCTACCACGTAATATTAAGAGACTTCATCAGGCCGTTATCACTTACATACATATATCACTAAGCAAATATGAAGCTCTAAAGAAGACGTGACGCTGTGCGTCCTGTTTCATCTCACAGCTAAGCAGTCGCTAAACGTCTACAGTAACTTTCGCTACTGCATGGTGATTCAACACCAACGCATGTTTATGATGGTCAAACCAGGGTTAAAACGTGGTTTTCTGTAGGATACCCCCCTATTTGTGAGACAGGCCGTTCCGTGACCACGAAAACGTGAAAAAGCTGCTTGTAAGAACAGGTGGGGAGTTTTTTTTTATTGCCAGAGTTTACTAGAAGTGGGTATAGCTACCCTGAGTGACATATGGCATTATAAAGCTAGCTTGTCCACAATACCCTTCCTATTTACACGGGTACACTTTATGGACTATTGCTGATGTGAGTTATATAAGAAATCAAGATCGAGCTGGCAATACCGAACCCTGGAACCAAAGGTAGGGTATAGTCGTATAATGGGGTCAGTGGAGAGAGCGTTGTAAAAGTGCTAGAGCCACAGGAACCGTCCCATGTGAGATGGATACGGACCACTGTCAAGAAAAATATTAGGGAAAATGAACACAGGTTTACTGCCTTATCTGCATTAACTCTATGTAGGTTAAAGTAAGTTTATTGCCGAATTGGGTCGAGTAATTTATTATCGAACGTCTTATCAGAAATCGAAAAAGACCCAAAAGCGCAAAGTCAAAAAGAAAGAGTAGCCCATTCTTGCATGGTAGACTTAACCATTATTAAAGAATAGCATCTTAACTTAACGAAAATCAAAAAGTTGAAAAAAAGTAGAATAAATGCAGGGTTTTTTTTTTTTTTTTTTTTTGGTAATATTTTGTATAAGTTTCAGACTGGACTCTTCTTAAAAATATTTTAAAATGTCAATTCATGTTGTCTTGTGCATATGTGGATATATATTAATGAAGTAGCTGCAAGTCATCTGAATCCCCGAGCAGTTTACTTACAGTTTCGAATGATATCCTGATATCGCTCAAGCATCCACGCCAATCACGAAAATATGCATACAGTGTATACACATGCATACACACCAACGTTTTGCAATTCATACTTACACATTACTCGTAGTTTAATGCATTTTCACTTTTTTCCCACAGGTTTATAAACGTCAAACTTTGAATCGAGAGTTGTAAAATCTGCATTTCCATCCAATTATGCAAGGTCGCTACTAATTAATGTCTGCATCACAACAATGACCAGACTTGGACTAAGTCGGGCATGCGCATTGGTGTGCATTTTTATCTTCCAACAAGTAGGGGATTGCGTTGAGACAACTGGTGCAAACGCAGTTCTCAGTTTTAAACCCTTAATTGTGCGTCACGCGGAACAAACTCGACTGGGAATAAAACCCTTGTTTGAAAAGACAAAAAGATCTGCTGCAAATGGCGGCCACGCTGTCAACATTTCCGGAGCCACGCGGTTGAATCAAGTCCTCGACAAAACACTTCAAAGTCAGGATATGACAAACAATGGCAATGATTCAGCTCCCAACTGCAGTTCTCCTCAGTACCTCGATGACTCAAGCGAGGACTTCATACATTTCCGGGCGGTTATCAGGGTCATGTTATACAGCATTGGAATCGTGTGTAACATGTTATCCGTAGCCGTCTTCCACCGCAAGTCTCTGCGGCGCAACACAACGTGTTTGTACATGACCGCTGTGGCCGTCACTGACACTCTAGTGCTGCTGGATGGATACATGTTCCTTTTTGAGCACGATATTGGAATTAATGTAATATCCCATGGAGCAGCCACATGCAAATTGACCATGTTTATTCTGTATTGTACTCCGGAAATGAGCGGGCTGTTCTTGACAATTATGAGCGCGGAGCGGTATGTGAAGATTAAATTCCCCTTCAAAGCACAGTCTTTGTGTACGGTGCGAAACACGCGCATTGTCCTGTGCTCGGTGGCTCTGGCCGTAATTATCATTAACTCTCCTATAATTCTGACTGGTTTGGCTTTTGAAGAAATGCCCGGATGCGAAAGACATATTTGCTGGAATTTCTTACATTATGATTCTCGCGCTGCGCAGAGGATGGGAAAGGACGTTGCATACTTTGCAAACATCCATTCCTGGCTTGGGGCTACTTTGTACTGGATCATACCCCTGATCTCACTACCAGTTATAAATATCGCGATAATTTACGAGACCAGAAAGGCTACCAAACGCCATGCGCACGCGTCGTCTACTGCGCTGAGAATCAATCACGTGAGCGTAACCCAGGACACAATGACAGGCACGAGCAGCTCCACCGACCATGATGACACGGGTATCTCAGAAACTGGCATCCCCCAAAACGCCAATACAAGCCAATATGAAGTCCGGAAAAAAAGCCAAAAACAAGTGCAAAGAATGTTACTCGTGGTGACTTTTTCCTACGTTGCCCTCGTTACGCCATATAATCTTTTACAAACGAGGGTGCTAGATTTGTGGAAGTACGGTCGTGTTCATCAGTGGGTTTTCACAATTGCCATCTTCTTGTTTTACGCCAACCACGCTGTGAATTTTTGGCTCTACTGCATCAGCGCGCCCAAATATCGTAGAGAACTAAGAAGGGTACTGAAATCTTGCCGGTTACCATCACGTGTTGAATCTCGCACTACTGAATAGCTTAACGTTCTTATGATAAATAAAGACATTTGCTGCTTACTCCACCGAGTAGTGTGTTATGATCTTACAGCACTTGACTTACTTTAACACCTTGAGCCTGTAAAACTTGTTTGACTCCTGCAATTATTCGAATAAGCCAAAACTCATTAATTATTTCCCATCAATACTCAAGAAAAAATCGTTTTTTAAGATTTTTTTCGAGTTTCGAGATTTTCAGATTTTAAGAAAACGAACTGTGTGCAGTCTGTTGTACATGTCGGCCTTAGTATCCAAGGTGACTCATATGACGCCAAGGGCAGCACTTTCCAGACAGCTTAAATGTGCAATTTATGTTGTTTTATAAATTATGATCATATATTCTGAATCGCCGACGAAATCAAGGTATCATGGAGGAAGACCCACACACGCACACACACTCAAACTCACCCATCTACTATAGTATTTTCTACCAGAAAAATGGCCACCTCACAAATCGGCACTTGTTTTCCGTTTTACAATTTTGCATTGATAAATGTGCTTCTAGAAAATGGAACACAAGGCATTCTTTCGTCTCTTAGATGAATATGGATAGGGGGATCTTCCAAGCTCTTAGCATTAAAAATCAACTTTCATTATACTAATAAAACTTTGCCAGGCTTACTGCGATACCGATATCAATATATATTTAGATGTCGTTAAATGTATAAGGCACTGAATGCATTTCTATTCATTTAAAATTTCAAAGACACTTCACAACTTGTCAAACAACAATATAATGTCTTCTTACAGTCGTACTTTATTAGGAAATGGGGCAATGGGAATATTTATATTAATATAAATATTGCCTATTTAAATATCGGTTTATGCCCTACGCTATTGACCAAAAGGATTTCTATCGGGTGGCTAAAAAAATGGATATCAATTTCAAAGTTCAATAACTTCAACGGTTCACAAGCTACTGAATTACGTATACAATTTTGCAAAGATTTTTCACACATTGTCATAGGTCAGCCCTGAAGATCTGAAGGGTTATAGTGAAACAGTTTTAATATTATCATTAAATAAAAACACATTGTCAGGTGTCAAAACTGCCAGACACGGGCACCTGTCAGAAAACACACAGGCTTGTGTGACGGTGTAACATATCATACATGTAAGTAAAGGCATGGTAAAGGTTAGGGAGCACAGGATTCAAACTACTGCGCATGCGCGAAAAGTACTCTGTTTGAAATAAACAAATGGTGAAATTGACAAAGCCTTCCGGTGTTTACCGTCTGGTTGATTTGATTTAATTTGCTTTCTGGTGTTGTTTTGAGAGGTTATATTAGAAATATTCTGTTGATTGTATTTATTAAAAAGCAAATCCATCGGACTTTCCTTAGATTAACATTTATTTTGTCTTCATTGTAAGGGGAATTCCCTTCTCATTTATAGTGTTATATGTGGTCCCAAGGGGATTTTCCACCCCTCCCCCACTCTTGATTAATAAAATTTTTCATCGGGCAGATTGAAAATTATATTGCAAAATACACTGAAAATCGTAGGAAGGTTAACTGCAGATAATGCTGCGAGCATATTCTAAACAGGGGGCGAACTCGGTCAATGTAAAAGTTTTAACTTCGTCTTACGATTTTGGAGCGCCTGTTCTAATTATTGGAAGCGAGACAATGGGCCCAAACAATACGATACAATTTGTAATCTCGTAAAAATTGCTATTTTTAAATAAAGATCATAGCATGGAGTACATCGAAATGCGACTTGTTTATTATTATGATCTTTAATAATAATTAATATAAAACAAACAATATAATACGTTCTTAGCGTTGGCCTATTAATTAGCTTAATTGTTTTTTTTTAGTTTTTGGAGATTAAAAACCCAAAAGTTGTCTGGTTTCATATCGAGGCACCACGTATCGTTCGTGTGCTAGGGTTAGTCTCCCATATGAAAAGTAGAGGTAAGGGTTAATCGGAGTATAAAAAAGTATAACCTGCAAGCCGAAAAGATTTGAAACCAAATCTGTACCCCGTGTCCTATATCTGTGTCTGCCCAGCAGTTTTAGATTTTGATGCTTTAGGCAACCTGATTTTCTCTTTATCTACCGGTCTCTCCATCCATCCATCTCTCTATATATTGATCCATCATCCATGCAATTCATTCATTAAGTAACCAAAAACGTCTAGATTAAATTTACACGACATACAATATGAAAATAAGGGTATTGTACAAAAGAAGCCGCAAAAATCTTGGGCGACAACACATTAGTCTCGGTCACAACCGGCCGCACGGGCTCTTTCGACCCGTTTGAGTCCAAATTTTGCGGAGAATCTCATGTGCCACGCAAGGCTTTTATGCGAAATTTCGAGTTCGCACGTATGTAAGCACGTACGGAGGATACTGAACATTTCCAATAGATTCTACAAATAATCTTCGAACAGCGAGGCCGCAAGCGTAACTTGCTCCCTTCGCAAGGAGTTTGCAAGTGAGACTTATGTGGTCCAAGATGCACGTCGCAAGCAATGAAAGAGAAAGTGCCCTTTGCGTGTTGAGTACGGCGCACGCCCTCACATCTATGACGAAGTAAGTCGAAAACAAGGCGGGACTGCGAGAATGAAAGGTGCGCTCACGACGCATGCTCGTGTCTCTTTAATTTCGTTGTCCAACAATTTTCAAAAATTTTGAATTTTGCTCAATTCAGATTCTAATATGCCCCCAAAAGACAAGGGAAAGAAGCTTAAGAGCAGAAAAGAAGGTTGGAGGAAGAAGACAGAAAACGAAGCGCTTTAGCACTGCTTTTTTATTACTTAATTATTTTACAAAATCATCGTTGCCTGAAGAAAAGACATAGCTGCGTTATCTTAGATTAAAACTAACTTTGCCTTAAGTAAATAAATAAAAGGGCGTATAATATATATACGGTAACTACAGTAGGAGAACAATATTAATTTTGCAAAAACATTTCTCAAAATCACAAGGCAGAGCTGTAGGCCTACGTACTGTCAAGCTGCACACAAAGTCTGAAATCGACTTCGTCTAACGTTCTTTATTTTCCCCAATATATTTCGAATAAAATGTGTCAATTTTGGGTCCCAAGAGGGTGGTGCATCTTGAAAAAAAAGCATTATAATAAGGGTTTTGAATCACGAATTGTGTTTACAAAGCCAAGGGAATCTTTGCTTTGGGGGAGTAGTGTTTTTGCGCAGTATTGGTACGCGGGAGTATCAGTGTATCGGTGCGGGGATGTAAAGAAGCGGGGGAATATCGGTGCGGGGGATGTATCGATGCAGGGGGAGTATCGGTGCGGGGACGTATAGGCATGTAACCTTATTCTAGTCGGGGACGAACTCGGCCAATATAAAAATTTCAACTTCGTCTTATTATTTTGGAGCGCCTGTTCTAATTTTTGAAAGCGAGGCAATGGAACCAAACAATACGAATCTCATAAAAATGGATATTTTTTAATAGAGGTTATAGCCAAGCGTACATCAAAAGGCGACTCGTTTATTATTGTTATATGTAATAATAACCAATATAAAAGATACGATATAATAGGTTCTTGTCGATGGCCTATTTATTAGCTTTATTGATTTTTTTAAATATTTGGAGATTAAAAACACAAAAGCTGTATGGTTTCAAATCGAGGCACCACGTATTGTTTGTGCTATGCGGAATTGAAAACATGGAAAAGGTCAAGGACGTTTCATATCGCTGACGGTGCGCGCGCGCCATCTGGTGTTAAGTCCGCGAATGACCGTTTGCAGTAACTGATTGTTGGGTTGCTGTAACTGATTGTTGAGTTGCGGTAACTGATTGTTGAGTTGCGGTAACTGACTTTTAAATCGTTTATTGATTGTTAGATTTTGACGAATGATTAAAATGGCCAAAACTAATTTAGTAGAATTAAGTTTAGAGAGTTAAAGTAGGTTTTGACTGATAAATAGTGCCGATAGATTGTTGAATTGACGTCTGCATTTTTTGCGTGAATGGCGTTCCATATTCCAAGTCTCCCCTCAAGTTTAATTTAGTCTCTCTATTGCACCAACTGCTTGGGTAAGATGAAACATTCTGCGAATTTTTTTCTGGGGAACATTCATTTTTGACACTTCAGCATATGAAATGCACCTCTATATTGGGGTTTAAAACGTTTATCATTTATTCTTTTCGTTCCCCGTTTTCGATTTTTTTTCATTTACTATGTCAAATCAATTCTAATAAGTCGGCGCAAAATAAGTCACTGAATAAAAGTAATGAACAATAGCTTTATAATTCAAAGTATGCCTATGATCTGGTTTCGAATTACAGGCAAAAATTACCGATGACGTCAGAGCTTATAATAGTCCGGGAAATTCCAAGATGGCTGACCTACGTTGTAGTGAACGCGAACTAGGCTACTTATCAAATTAGGGTTTACCCAGCAGCTGTGGGATTTCCCGCTGCTTTCATGAATATTGTTATCAAGGGTTATATATAACTTCCTGAATTGAAGGACATCGTTAGTAACGGGAAGAAAGTGAGACCCTTCTCCGTAACCTCTAAGCTGATCGACAAAAAATTTGGGGCCGGTTTCACGAAGCAGATTAACTACCCACTCACTACTAAACTACCTCGCTAACGAGCAAACTTAGCGATTTTCGAGGAGTGTTTCACGAAGCAGTAGTTAACTTATCGCTAAGTTCAGTCGTAAAGTTCGGGCGTTAGTTCTCTCGTTACTCACCGTAGTCTCGAAACCGTCTGCCGGAAGTGGAATTCTTGCGTAAAAGTGTCACGAAAGCACTAACTCTCCAATTTTTGGTGGCTGGAAATGCATAAGAACGTCTGCTTTGAGGTCGTCGTAAAGAATCTGCACCACCTTTTTGCCGCTCTTTTTGTCACAGCTAGGCACAAACTCTCGTAAATTGCATCATCGTGTGTATATTCTAATAGATTCTGCCTTTCATGAAAACGTCGTAGTCTACGTTGCCGTCTGGCGGTACGGATAGCAAGAAAGGTAGCCGCCATATTGGATACAAAGACGACAGACAACGGTAACTAAGCAACCTTTTTATTTCACTCATTACGCATGCGTACGATGAAACTCTAGAGTTAGCGACTGGTCTGACCAGTCGTTAAATATCCAAGGCAACAACGAGACAATAACGAGCGAGAGAACTAGCGACTGCTTCGTGAAACGGCACTATAACTAGCGAGAGGCTAACTACCAATCGCTAACTAACTACTGCTTTGTGAAACCGGCCCCTGACCAGTCGTTAAATATCCAAGGTAACAACGAGACAATTACGAGTGTTGAAGTCGGGTACTCGAACTGCTTATCAAATTATGGTTCTTCCAGCAGCTGTGAGATTTCCCGCTGCTTTCATGATATTGATATCAAAGGGTATATATATCTTTCCGAATCGTAGTACATCGTTAGTAACGAGGAGTACGCGAGACCGTTCTCCGTAGCCTCTAGCTGACTGATAGAAATTTTTGGATCAGAAGCTGTTGCTACAATTACCTAGGATAGTTGAAATATGGCAGTTGTGCGACGCCATAACCAGACAGTGTTAGATTCCCTTGAGCCGGGAGACATGATAGAGTTTCACAGGCCGATGTACTGTCACTGGGCTGTTTATATAGGTGAGTTGGGGGTTGTACTCCTGATAAAATGACACCAGATTTTGTTGCCATTAACTAAAAAGTCATTTAACGCAATGTGCAAATATTGTAGGCCTACATGTAGACTCTGACTGAAGCTAAAATAAACGTTTTAAATGAACTGAAACATAACGTCCACAGTAAATGTAGTGAATCAACTGCAGGAGTTCACACACCACGTAAGAGTCAGAAGGAAAGATTTACAACACCACAAAATAGAACGGTTTAAAGTAAAGATTTTAAATTAACTTAAATGATAGAATTACTATTTACATTCAGGTGATGAGCAAGTGGTTCACATTACTGGAGAAAATGATGGAATTAAAGATGGCAAAGGGGATCCAGGGAAGTTCTGCAGCCCCTGTGGTGTACAATTAAAGAAGGCTTTTGTTCTAATCTCTCCCTTCTGGGATGTGGCGGGGGAGAGTAAGGCTGTCAAAAACAATGGAAAAGACCGCAAACACAGGTAAATGTTTGTGGTAGATAGAATACTAGTAGATATTATTATGTTGATAAAATATTTATTCATTTATTTATTTATTCATTTATTTTTTGTTTTGTGAAGTAGGCTAGTGCAACTAGAAAACTTATATTTAAAAAAGTAAATGGTGTTAAGATAGGCCCCTACTGCAGTTAACACATCCATGCCAATACAGACATGTTAGATGACCACTGGTAAATATAAAAAGGTGATATAATAGAACTATTCATGTTTTTCTTTTCTTTCAAGACAGCTCAATTATTTACTGTTCATAAGTCATAATACTTTTTTGGGAAAAAATAATGTTTTCCTCAATGCTAACTAAAATGTTTGAGATGTAATTTTGACCATATTAAAGTGAGCAGATAATTCATCTCACACCCAAATTCTCTTGTTTCAGACCTGCGAGATGTGATGAGATCGTGGAGAGGGCTCTGTCAAAGCTGGGAGATTATGGATACAATGTCCTCTGGAAAAATTGCGAACATTTTGCATCCTGGTGTAGATATGGTGTAGAGTGGAGTGAACAGGTTTTTTTTTTTTTTAATTTTTGTATTTACTTTCTTTTATTTTTATTTTTTATGATCTTCATTTCAGGTCCTGATTTTTTATAATTTCTTTGTGCACCTTTTATAACTTCTCAGTGTTGTGCCCTTATTGTTATTTCATTTCTGCCATTTGTTTTCTCTGTGTGTGTGTGTGTCTGTCTGTCTGTCTGTCTGTCTCATGTTACTGCTTCTGTCCTCCTTTTTATCCCTTCTATCTTCCATGCACCTCTCCGTTCATCTATTGTCAGCTTTTGTTTTCTGTTTTTTATGTGCACTCAGAGAGTCAGAGAGTTCTGGCATGCAGTACATCATTCAATTCTGCTGTCATAACTAATGATGCGATCACAATCGCATCTAACAAAATAAAGACATCTCACTGTCACATCTAATGCAATGAACATTTTTGCTGTCACATCTAGAGCAGTTTATAAATGTTACCTTAAGTTTAATTGTAATTGTCAAGTTTGTTTTAAATTTTTGACTGGAAAAAATATTCAAACAGATCATTTATTTGTTTGATAAAAAACAACATTTTTAATTTTTTTCATTTCATGTGTAACATATTAATTATTTTCATTTAATCCATTCATTTGTTTAGTCAATTATTTTGTTTAATTGATTTATTTTATTTTTCAGGCAGATATTTTTTGGCAAGGGGCAGCTGTTTGTTTGACTGGCGCTGCAGTGGTCGCTGGCGCAGGATACGTGTATCACAAACAGAAAAACAAGAAGGAGAACAAGACATGATTCCAGAGAGCCAACACATTTTGATACTCATGGCAGATGAGATCTGATTCAGAAAAGATAGGATATTTCCTCAATTACACTGTTCACGTATTTGACTGGTTTTTTATTGACTTGGTGACCAGATCAGCAAAGAAAGCATATTGCTTAAGCCCCTGTTGAACTGAGCTTGTGACCACATGGGGCCCGATCTCACAAATATGTAGCAAAGAAAAGGATGCAGTAATGTATCATTAATATATCAAATAGCATATATATATATATATAATTTAATAATATCGATATATCATATATAATATATCAATAACATATCATTTAAAGGTCATAAACAGTGATTTATGGATCTGATGTTGACTGTGAAATGTTGCCAAAGCCCATCTTTAAAGGTGGGAAAGGGCAACTGCTCTTGACTATAATGCAATACCAAGCAGTCCATTTCTGTAGTAGTAACAAAGTTATTTTTGATAAAAAATACTTGGACTTGATATCAATATTTTCTGAAAGTGTTGAGTTCTTCATTAACATATTCAAGAAATAACGAACAAATCAATAAACCAGCAGTATACGTCAATATGCGTTAATTTAAGATGTTAACCCTTATAAACATATATAAGAATAAAGTGAATTATTTGTTAATATCAGCAGCGATCACGAAATTGTTTGTAAAAATATTTAACCCCAATGAAGAGAATGCATTACATAATGTCATGTTAATTGAATACAAATATACCATGCAAGCACATTATGAAAACAATATGAATAACTGAAAACGAAATTCGTTCCTGCGTATAGACATGGTCAGACGTAACATGAAAAAGTGGATGATGTCGAGTTCAATAGACCATAGGATCACACTTCGTGGGTCGATGCTTTTACTTAAAAATGTGTTTTACATTCGTAAAATATGCATTGCTTGTTTAGATAGGCTTTTAACAGTAAGGGATTGTTTCATTACGTCAGTGAATAAATAGTTCGTTACGTCCGTAAGCAATGAGTCAATTACGTCAGTTAGCTACTAGTTTTTTTATTCCAATAATCAATAAGGTGATGGCGTCAGTGAGTTTTTTTGTAGATTATATCTGATCAGATTCTGGGTCGGTGCTGCCCTTGTATTTTAATTATTTTAAAAAATGATAGTGACAGGCATAATAATAATTGTTGATAAGAACGGGCATGTTGACTTCAGTGCAATTTTCGTGCTAGCATTCATTTTGTTGTAGCTGATATGGCTTAAACGTCCGACCTTAATCGGAAAAAAATTACTTCATTTATTTAAAAATGAAAAAAAAAATACATTGAAAATTAAAATAAGTTTTATCTGTATGTTTACGATTTCACTGTAACCTACTCATTTTATTAATTTTCGTCTATATATTATTCATTTTCTTTGCAGAATATGAATTTAGTCATGGGCCGTTTTTTTATGCAGCCACGCTATCTATACTGATAAAAAACTCATTTTCAAAAAAAGTGATTGTATGCGTAATATAATAATAACAAAATATATTGTTAGGTTAGATTATAGCAGATTATAGCAAGTATGTATTGTCTGAGTATATTGTTATTGGACATATATTGAGGTCTTTGCAAAAGTGTAAAAAAGTTTACAAAAAGAAAAAAAATAAAATTATTCCACCCCTCCAAGCTCATCTGCCCCTACGCATACATACGTCAACTTCGTGTCAGGCTTTCACAACTTTGATTATACTGGACTTCAGTATATAAGGATTTGACGGTTGCTTTTCACTTCTCGGAACTGTTAAATTAACCTCGGATCACTGTTCGCGCTGGCATCCATTTCGTTTGTCTCCCCCTTCCCCTATTACCACAAATATTTACAACACCATCCGTATCATGTATAGAGGCAATGAAGGTTATTGCTTCGAGATTTGGCCAGTGGAGGTCGCATTTTTATAAATCCCGTTATTAAATTACCCGAAAACTTAATTTGACATTGAAACTAGTTGCTGGTAGTGCAAAATATGACCGTGGGAATTGAGATAGATGCTAAATATTCAGAAGACGAATCGTCCAAAAATTATTTTATAGTCCGCCAACACGATATACATGTAGTACTACTAGTATATGTAACTGAAATAATGAAGAGTAATGATCCTTAAACTGTAGAAAACCAACTCCTGATATTTATCATTTTAAAAGTTTTTACTTTTATTTTGGGCCAATCTTTCGTGTGAACGTTCATTAATATTAGTATGTGCTGGTCGTGCACAAAGGGCATAAAAACTAGACAAGTCAGTGCATGCTTCAATACCTTTAACCACCGATACTCAGTTATTGCAAACAAATCTGTCTAGTTTTTATATTGTAGAGGTAATGTAATGTTGTATAGTAGAAATTTATGAACTACAGACCTGACATTTAATATGGAATATTTTTTTAAAATCATTTTTCATTACTTTTTTTCCTATTTTGGTGACTGATAAATAGAATTAATGTTAATATCGTGTTTTAGTAACTTATAATTACCTCCATGATGTCAGTGTGACATCATGTCATTAATTGAATTCGCCAGTGAAGCAAACAAAAATACATTGCTATTTCAACCATTAAAATGATATTATAGATCTCCATATTTTCTTAATTATTGTCTCTAAAAGAGTTACATACCCCACGTAGGAGCCTCATGTCAGTGTCTAGTGACAGCAGTTGCTACGCCTGACCTATTCTGATTGCCACCAGGGCTCTCAAACGGCAAGGCATTCCTTGGGATAGGTTTTTAGAGTTCAGTCTGGAATAACATTCCAGGCATCGGCCAAAACTTGTCTATTTTGGTCCAGTTTTGTTGTAGGGCATACAGGTCCTTGTTTCGGCGAGTAATTGCTTACCCACATATTGTCCATGTGGTTCAAATATGGTGATTTTGATGACCAAGATAGCTGCTCATTCCATTGGTTCTGTAAGTTATCTGCTATTAAAAGTGTTCCGTGTGAACCGGCAAATTCACAGTGCAACCTAAAATTGTTCCTAAGGTACCCCCTATCAAATGATAGTCAATAAGTTCCCATATTATTCCTTTATTTGATTTGGTTCAGGTTTTCAACGATTACTACCATTGGTGTTTGGGCACCAATTTGGTATCTTCTCCAATTATTGATACTGTCAATGACTCTAGTTACGTAAGAAACAGCACACGATTTGTCGTAGGTCTCTTCTGGATATCTGTTAACTCTGTTTTGATTGGTTGGGCGGTACAGGTGAAATCTGGCCTCCGTAAAGAAGGCCACGCGGTTTCATTGTTCTACCCAGAAACGGCCATGGTCCCCAATTCATTTGAGAAACAGACAACGATATTTTGATCGCAAACATATGTCAGGACAGCTAAGTTATCATTTTATTAGATAGGCATTTAATAATCAATTAGACTAATTCGCAAGATCTATTTATTTAATTTATACTGTCAGTCCTCATTATCGATTTATTCATAGTCTCATACAATACTTGCTTGATAAATCACCACCAAAATCAAACCAATAACAATTCTTTCTATTTCGTCAAAAATCCTCTTATATTTCGATTACTGTCATAAAGGCCATTTCCTTTCAGTTACTGTCATTATCTAATGAGGCAAAAGATCACCACTGAAATCCAACCATTTGCTACTTAATTGCCTTTCTATTTGACAGTTTGTGGGGGTTTCATAAAATCCACCCACAACTTTTTGCATGATGTTGCTTACAGACATATAAACGAACCGAAAAAACTCATTGGCGAATTGAATTGAATCTGAAAACTTTTGAGAAATGACAATACAATTGCGCTGCGCTTTTCTAATCTATTAGTTTATTTATTTAACAGCCGGGCAAATTGTTCAACAGAAAGCTTTTAGATCCGAAGTAAGTGGAATCGGTTATAGGTGATGTTGAGGTGTAAAGAATGAATTATGAAGTCGTCACTCTCTATCGCCAGATTTCGCTTACCTATGTTGAGATAACCCCACCTTGAAGCAGACGCCTGCGCAAACAGCCCTGCATCATATCATAAATGTTAACGTTCTTGTCAATTCTTGTGGCCCTTGTCGGCTAAGGACAGTTACCAATTACGTGACTGAAGACGCTCTCTCTGTATTTTTTTTTTCATTTTTATTTATTCATTTTATTCATTCATTTATTTTTTGTTGGCACCAAAGCTAACAAAAGCCCCATTCACACCTACATGGTTAATCGAGATTAAGGGAATCGCGATTCTAACGCGCTTAGCTAAATTCACTTTTTTGCGTTCACACATGTAAAAACGAAATCGCGATTTACCTAGCTAGATCTGGTAATTGCAACTGCGCTCGCTAGGGGAGTCACGGTATATCCTGTTGATCATGCGCAGTAGCTGCCTTCAAGACCATGCTTTCGGTTTGTACGTTGTTATTTTCCATTTAATACTTTCATCGGCCCAAATATTTAGTTATGCTGCCACTGAGTTTTCAGACCAGAACGTCCTCTTGGCCATTTTGCTGACTGCGAAGAAACTTGAAATTGCGTGGACAGTTTGTTTTCTTTCACTTTCCAGTCGGCGAATAGCTGTATTTAGCTAATGTTTCGTTTCAATTTATACCCGACATGAAATAAAATTTATTGTATTGTATTATATTGTACTTTCGATAGAAACTGTGCACGCCTCTTAAGTCCTCAACTTCCGGTGCTAACATCGATCCCGTTCTCACTAGGAAATTTTATATCGCGATTTAAGTTTACATCGATAGAATCCACCTCTCGAGTAGGATTAATTTGAATCGCGATTTGACGTCTCTACTGCGTTCACACTAGAAGCTTTACATCGATAGAATCGCGATTTGGCACTAATCGCGATTGAAAGTGTCTCGTGTGAATGGGGCTATAGTATCTAAGAGACGTTGGGGACCTTAAAATAATACATACAATCAACAGACGTTAATTTTCCTGCACTTGGCATCCACTGTATTGTGCAGTTCAAGCTCCATAAAAACCTGTAATCTTTCGTTTGTCTTTACAATTACGAATTAGAAGATCAGAGAGGCGATACCGCCTCCTGTTATAGCACCACCAGCTGGAGTAAGCGCATTCGTATGAAAAAAAAAAAAAAACGGGCCACCACGACCACCACATACCAGTATTGAGCTTGACAAGCTCTATAAAATGCAATAAACTGATCGAGCTTATTTTCTAATTAACCTGTATTTTTGTAATATTGATCACTCATGTGATTTTCAAGACAGTAGACATATGGGCTTTCCTTGAAATGTGTTTTCAGTGTTGCATATATGCTGAATAAAAAGAAGACCCAAGAGAAACACTGGGCATATCTCTGCCAGATTTGAAGATATGAGGGGCAGAAAATATGCAATGTGCAGTTCATGGTGAAAAGTAGGTCAAAGGTCAATTTCAAAGTCACCGTTAGATTGGCATTATATTTCTTCCTATTCAAGTTCAATAGTAACTATGCGCATTTCTTTGTCAGTTTTGGAGATATATGAGCTAGAAGATTTGCAAAGTTCAGTTCATGGTGAAAAGTAGGTCAAAGATCAATTTCAAAGCCACAGTTAGATTCCCAGTATATGACGTCCTATTCACGTTCAATAGTAAATATGGGCGTATATTAACCACTTTTCGAGATATAAGAGACAGGAAATTTGCAAAGTTCAGTTTATAATGAAAAGTAGGTCAAAGGTCATTATCAAGGTCACAATAAGATTGCCAGTATATGACTTCCTATTCAAGTTCAATAGTAACTATGGACGTATCTCTGCTAATTTTGGAGTATTTCACATCTTATTTTCACCACTAAGTCTTGCGACGTTGTACTTTTGATATAGCGCAACTCCTAAACCGTATTGAAAACAAAAAACGGACACCACTACCAGTATTGGCATTGGC